GCATTTCGTTTTGTCTGAAAATTCCCGATAGTAGCATTTCGTTTCTTTGATATTTCGCATACATAGCTGAAAATTTCTGATGTTAGTATTTCGTTTTCTAAGCATATTGGGATGACGATAGAAGTGGTCATATTCTCGGAAACCGGAATTATTCTTTTCTGAAAATCGAATTTCCATTCTATCTCGCAAATTTTTTTTTGAAAACCGAAATCTTGCGAAGCCTACCAACATTTCGCTAGGCATATTCGGAGGTTGCCATATTCTCAAAAACTGGATTTCGTTCTTTTCTGGAAATCGCATCTCAACTCTATTTCCCAATTTTTTTTTTTTCAAGATCGCATTTTGTGAAAGCCGAAACTTTGCGGAACCTAGCCTAGATCTCGTTCATAGTACTCCTCTGACATGTCTCACGCATAACAAATCGACAGATATACAAAAAAAAAAAAAAAAAAGGAAATGGTCCTTTTTTATTTTATTTATTATTTATTTTTTTATCTGTTGATTAGGGCTGGGAGAAAAGTATTGTTGGGCTGGTTCCCTACCTGCGTTTTCCCTCCCCACCCACCCTTTGCATGCATTTCCGAGTTGGTACAATGACATGTCAGCAGTCCCACGTCAGCAACAGTGCCACGTCAGCAGTGCCACATCAGCAACAGTGCCACGTCAGCAGTGCCACATCAGCAACAGTGCCACATCAGCAGTGCCACGTTGTTCACAGTGCCACGTCAGCAGTGCCACGTCAGTAGTGCCACCATGACGGGCGCAGCTCTGGGCATGCCAGGCCAACTGGCCAACGAGTCTATTGCCGACTACAAACAACGGTTCCATACTCAGCTCGCACTGATCGAGGCTGAGGAACAGCGCCAGCTGGCAGCTGAGGCTGCCCGCCTATAGGCTGAAGCAGCGGCAACAGCTGAGAAGCAGCGGCTTCAGGCCGAAGCAGATGCAGATACCCAAGCATGCAGAAAGGAAGCCCAGGATCTGCAACAGCGGCATGAAGCCGCCAGCATCGAAAGACTCAAGTATTGGCACTTTGAACCATCTGAAGGGCACGACGACGCGACACCAGAGGAGCAACACAAGGAGTTCACGGCCAAGCTCATGACCAAAATGGTTTACGCTATTAACCATCTGGAGTCTGAGCTGGCAAATCTCCAGCGGGCCATGAGGACCTACAAGGCCCAGCACGAGGATGCGACACGGGCACTTGATTCCCGTATGCACGACCTGGAGCAAGCTGCACCAGGACCGCAGGCTGGCGAGTCCAGCAGCGCACCCTCGAACCGCCAACTGGAGGAACGTGTTGACCACGTAGTGGCAATGCTTGGTGACATCAGTACCTCCACAGCGACAGCTACCATCAGCCAGCGGCTCGATGTTTTGGATGCCAAGCTCGGACAGCAACAGCAGCCGTCTGATCTCAGCACCAACAACTCGGCGAAGCCGTACAAGATGTCGACATTCCGGATCGAGAAATTTGACGACTACACTCATAAGGACCTGGTCGTCTGGTGGCAGGGATTTACGACGGAGTTGGGGATTCACGAGGTCCCCAAACATCTGTTCATCAGCACATTGTTCCTCAACACCAAGGGAGGATGCCAAATCTGGCTCAGCCACATGGCAAACATCCATGGCGTCCAGGTTTCAGACCTGTACAAGACGGTCCCTTGGGAGGTCATGACGAAGGAGTGGAAGAAGCGGTTCATCGTGGACGACGCACCTGCGCTCGCCATCAACCGCATCTTCGCAATGGCTCAAGGGAGCACACCGACACGTGACTGGCTCACGGATTGGCAGAAGATCGTGGCCACGCCCGATCTGGACTTACCGTTCACACATCTGTGTTGTGAGTTCTACAACAGGTCATGCGCCGCTCTCAGCCTCGCACTCGGTGATCACGAGCAGTACACCACCTTCGTCGAAATCATCAACAAGGCGAGAGAGGTCATCAAGACCAACAGGCCGGCTGCACACGAGAATTCAACATGGCAGCCAATCGTTGTGGAGAAGGTGAAGACTGGTCCACGACCGCAGCATGTCGCTGCAGTCCAAACGGACAGTGGAGAAGACCCGACAGCCACCCAAGCAACAACAGGTGGTTACTGTCCAGCCGCGAAGCAACAACAAGCCCCGAGGAAACGGGAAGGCGAAAACCGCATCGCCGGCCGGAAACAGACAGCCAGCACCATGGGTCAAGTTTACCTTGACCGAGGCCGAGTACAACTACCGCCGCCGCTACGGCTGCTGTTATTGGTGCAACAACACCAAGCACAAGACCTCCCAATGCCCTGATGAAGGCAAGGAGGATGTTCGACCTCGTATTAACTCGGGAAACTGAGTCGCGCAGGAGGTGAGGCGACTCCACCTCTCACTCCGCCAGATTCGGCCGCCTTGCTAGCGGCCTCCTACACATATGGGGAGGATGCGCATGTCGCAAGTCCTCGGTGCACTTACGAGGACTATGCTGTCCACTTGGCCCCACCGCTGGACCAACTGCTCCACGTGCAACAATCCACCGCATGCACGGTTTCACCACCATCAGCAACCGATTCGATAGCTTCGCCGCTTTCTATCGCCGAGGATTCATCATCGTGGTCAAGACTTGAGGTGCTCGACCCACTGACGTTCACGGACTTCCAGTGGATGCCCGTTCCCCCGACCGGTCGATTGCCGAAACCGCATTGCAATGTGCTCATGGCACAACTGCGGGATTACTTGCACACTGCAGTACCAGCTCCGTTGATGGACGCCGGAGTAGAGGTTGTCGACCTTCACGCTTACATTGCGAAGATCGACCGCGAGTTCAAGACGCAACGGTACGACGACATCGACGCACCATTGCTTTATGTACGCATTCAGATCGGACAGGCGACCTGCAGCGCATTGATCGATTGCGGAGCATCTCGGTCACACGCACAAGTCAATCGACCGGTGCATTGATGACCTCCCAGTGTACTTTGCCCCTCACGCAAGTGAGGCGGTGTCCTTTGACATTCTGGACACCAAATTCGACATGATCTCGGGCATGTCATGGCTGCGAAGCGAGGACCACTCGGTGAACTTCTACCGTCGCATCGTTCACATTCGTGATCGGAACAGAGTATTAGTCCCATGCACGGTGCCTCCTCCTCACCCTTCCATCAGCTGCCACGTGGTATCCGCCGCAAGCATGCGAGCTTCCATCATCAGAGACGACATCGAGGAGATGGGGGGGTGTTTTCTCCACGCCCTCCCGCCCCATGACGCTTCACCGACGGACTCATCTTCGGATCCACGCATCACCGAGCTTCTCGACGCCTACGGCGACGTGTTCGAAGGCCCGCACGGAGTAGTACCGGATCAGCCCATCCACCACGAGATCATCCTCGAGGACGGGGCCGTACCTTCCCGTGGTTGCATCTACCGAATGAGTGAGGAAGAGTTAAGTGTGTTGCGGGCACAACTCGACGACCTTCTGGAAAAAGGTTGGATTCGGCCTAGCTCATCGCCATATGGTGCGCCTGTTCTCTTCGTCCGGAAGAAGAACAAGGATCTGCGGTTGTGCATCGATTCGCAAGCTCAACGAGCAAGGCTGGATTCGCAAGCTCAACGAGCAAACGATCAGAAACGTCGGCCCTCTCCCACGCATCGACGACCTCCTCGAACGACTGGGCGGTGCCAAGTTCTTCTCCAAGCTGGACCTCAAGTCGGGATATCACCAACTCGAGATTCGGAAGGAGGACCGCTACAAGACCGTGTTTAAGACGCGATATGGGCATTTCGAATGGCTGGTTATGCCATTTGGCCTTAAATGCCCCGGCCACTTTCCAGGCGGCTATGACAACAGAGTTCCGACACATGCTAGATCGATTCGTACTTATCTACCTCGACGACATCCTAGTGTACAGCCGGAGTTTGGATGAGCATGTGGAACACCTGCGCACCGTTTTGGAGCGGCTACGATAAGGCAAGTACAAAGCCAACGGCGACAAATGCGAATTCGCGCGGCAGGAGGTGGAGTACTTGGGACATTATGTGACGTCGCAAGGCATCCGTCCGCTTGCGGACAAGATGGCCCTCCGCGTATGGCCCGAGCCCACCAACACCACGGACGTTCGTTCATTCATGGGGTTGGCGGGCTACTATCAGCGATTCATCACCGAATACTCAAGGATTGCTGCACCGATGACGAGATTACAATCCCCAAAGGTGCCATTCGTATTCGATGACGACGCATGCCGGTCATTCCAAGCACTTAGGACGGCCATGCTCATGGCACCCGTCCTTAGCATCTATGACCCCACCCTGCCTACGAGAGTGACAACTGACGCTTCCGGCTATGGCATTGGGGCAGTCTTGGAACAACACGACGGCGACGACTGGCACCCTGTGGAGTATTTCAGCCACAAAGTGCCTCCCATCAACTCGCTTGATGATGCAAGGAAGAAGGAGCTGCTCGCGTTCGTGATTGCTCTCAAGCGATGGCGACACTTCCTCCTTGGGCGTCGTAGGTTCACATGGGTTACGGACAACAACCCACTGACCTACTACAAGACGCAGGATACGGTGAGCAGCACGATCGGACGATGGATGTACTTCATCGACCAATTCGACTTCACACTGAAACATCTTCCCGGCCGCTCCAATCGCGCAGCAGATGCACTCTCGCGAAGACCTGATCTTTGCGCTATGGTACATCATGCCTTTGCATTCGACGAGGAACTTCAACGACACTTCGTCTGGGGATATGAGTCGGATCCGGACTTCGCCACGTTGTATGCGCAGTTATCTTCGGATCACCCTCCGGCCAGCCACTATCGCATTGCCGACGGTGCTTGCTCCTCCACTCGAGAGGCAAGGACTTATTGTGTGTCCCACGAGATCGTCGTCTTCGGACTCGCCTTCTCGGCGAGTACCATGACTCGCGACTCGCTGGCCATTTCGGAGTCAACCGCACCATTGCACGGCTTCGACAACGATTCCGATGGCCCGACCTCATTACCAATGTCACTCGGTATTGCGACTCTTGCGAAGTTTGCCGACGAAGCAAGCCCCGCAATCGCAACCCTTACGGCGAGTTGCGCCCGATGCCTATCCTACGGGAACCCGGCCTCTCCATTGCCATGGATGTAACCGGACCATTCCCTCGCGATCGCCTCGGGCACGACGGCATCCTCACTGTTGTGGACCGTTTGAGTAAGTAAGTGTGTTTTCTCCCTTGCAAGTACTACTCCACGACTCCCGAGCTGGCACGCCTCTTGCACACCGGTTGGATTTGTGGCCACGGTGTACCAGAAGACATAGTCAGCGACCACGACACTCGCTTCATGTCGGCATTTTGGACTGCTCTCATGCAGGAGTCCGGCACGAAGATGAAACCAAGTTCGGCTCGGCATCCACAGACGGACGGGCAGACGGAGCGGGCACATCAAACCGCTCAAATGATGCTTCGTACGCTCATCCGTCCGGACCAGAAAGATTGGGTTGACCGCCTCCCCGACATCGAGTTCGCCTACAACTCTTCGGTGCACCCAGCGATCGGTGTGACTCCATTCGAGTTGCACCACGGTGGACGAAAAGGCCGTATTTTCGCCGACCTTCTCCTCCCACGACCAGCCGACATCGATGCAGCTTGTTCTCCCGCTTCCGTCCGGAAGTACAGGGAATTGCTGGCTCAAGCCCGCGTGAATATGCAAAAGGCTCAAGTCCGCATGCTGCAGCAAGCCAACAGGCGTCGCGTGCCATGTCCCATCCGCGCCGGTGATCTGGTTTGGGTCTCCGCGGAAGAGTTTTGCACTGGAACAGGATGTTTCACGCAAACTGCTTCCCAAGTGGTTTGGACCATGGCCCGTAACAGCAGCCGCGGGCGATGAGCCCGATGGCCCTTCATTTGTGATCAACATCCCGACGCATCTGACGGTCCATCCAGTCTTTCACGCCTCGAAGCTGGCAACATATACACCAACTAAGAGCGACAACTTCCCAGGCTGACGATCGCAGGACCCTCCATCTATGGATGATCATCAGGAGGTTGACCGCGTCATCACGGACCACAAGTACGACAACAAGCCTCGACAGCACAAAGTTACATTCAGAGCATGTGATCCCGACGACACTCGGTGGATTTCAGGAACAGATTTGAAAGCATCCGCGCCGCTGATCTACGCTCACTACGAGCGACAAAGGTTAGCTCAGGGACCTTCACGACCTGCCCCTCCCATCCGGACTGTGGTCCCTCCCTCAGACAGACAGCTTCGCCCTCGCAGGTAAGCTCGGTCTTTCAAGGAGGGGGGGGGTGGCATACTGCGTAGCCACACTGGCCTGCAGGGCCCGTTCCGCATTCTCAGCCTAAAAGCCTAGAAAATAGGGCTTACAGGCCCCATGTCGTTTCAGCCTGAAACTGAAAACGAGGGCCTGCAGGCCCTATTTCGTTTTCAGCCTATAACAGGGCTTTTCAGCCTGAAACGGAGGGCCACTTTCGGGCACTCATAAGATCGACCTACCCTAAGACTCCGGCACAAAACCAGGGTTTTGGAACAGGCTATCTTTAGCCTGTTTCCCATGACAGCCTCGAGCAGGAGCTGCAGCGGCAGCCCCTGACTCCCTGCGGCATTGGCAAGAGCAGCCTCCTGGACTGCCTCGCCCTGCAGTCAGGATGCAGGCCGAGTAGTACATAGGAAGTTCCCATGCACTACACGGGTAGGTAGTTGGACAGTAGGCACGAGTAGTCTTCAGGATTCGGCCGCAACACTCAGGAGGAGCGCTGCCACGAGTAGCTTAGCGCTAGCAGTAGTCTTCAGCGCTGGGCGCTAGTAGCCATAGCAGTAGTCTTCAGCGCTGGGCGCTAGTAGCCATAACAGTAGTCTTCAGCGCTGGGCGTTAGTAGGTGGTAGTGGTAGTGAGGGACAGAGATGGCTGGCGGAGGCCAGCGAGACTTACCTGTGGCGCCATAGCTCCAGCTCCATCTTCG